TATATATATATATATATATATAAATTGTTTTTACGTTATTGGAAGTTAACTCGGGAATCCCACAAACTGTTTTTTTTTGTTAAGTTTTTCAGAAAAATTGACTGTCCTAAATTTTGATAATTATTAAATTTAATTTTATAACTTTTATTTTTGACTTCATATAAATTATACAAATGTCAAAATAAATTCAAATCAACAAGATGACTTCATTTATTTATTTATTGGTTATTAACTGATATTTTTTGTAACACCCCATTCATCAAGGACTTTTTTAAGATGTTGGAACACTATGATGTGCAACACAAGGTGTCTTCTCTTTATCACCCGCAAACAAATGGGCAAGCAGAGGTCTCAAACCAGGAAATCAAGTGTATCCTTGAAAAGACGGTGAATGTAAGTAGGAAGGATTAGGCTCTCAAGTTTGATGATGCATTGTGGGGAGACATCTCTTATCGACCATGCTTATGGTTTTCACCCGAAGCCATAATAGACGAGCAACAGACGAACAAGATCATGCATCGACAAATGGAAACAGGGGACGCCCCATACGCGGTTACGCGGTTTGAACGCGGAAGGGAGAAACAGTGGGGCCCACTTTTCTGCCACGTCAGCATCCGTATATTTGACTTTTTTCGTACGTTGTATCAAAATCATGGCTCCAGACAATAATTAAATATAATAATATAGAAAACTTTGATTCTACTTGGAGTATGTGATTAACATTGAAATTTTAGCTCACTAATTTATTCTATAAATCATACAAATTGTTCTGCACAAGCTTATAAGAAAACGATCACGGATCTCAAAGTTCAAGGGGAGTGTGTGTGTTGTCTTTCACTCTTTCGACGGTAGCATGTTAAACTGTATGTAAAGGTGTATTTTTAACAATTTAACAAGTATGATTTTTTTTTCCATTTTATTTTGTATACTACATATATTATTTATAAGTGACAATTTTGTTTGAATTAAATAATACCTAATGTACTATTCATACTGTGGAACTGAGCTTGAGC